TTCAGGGATGTTTAGGGTTTAGGGTACACCGTGAGACCCTCTGCCGAAGAGATTCAGAGGTTTGACAGTTGCATTCTGTCCAGGCAGCGAGGAACTGTGGAGTTTCAAGCGTCAGGTGTCTGGGATGGGGTTTAGGGTTTACTGTTTCTGACTTGTCTGCTGGCTTTGGGGACTTTTAGGGTATTGTAATTCTCGCAAACACTTCAGAGGTTCATTCTGTTTGAACGCCGAGACAGTCTCGATCTTGTTGTGGGCCCGGAAGTGTGCCCCAAGCGAAGGAGAATGGCGAAAGGCGGACAGGTAGCCCCCTTAACCCTAAACCCCTGAACCCTTAACCCTAAACCCTAAACCCTCAACCCTAAACCCCTGAACCCTGCATCGTCCGTTTTAGGGGTCGCAGAAATCCAAGCCCCAATTTCCTGGAACCCGAAGCGCTCAACCGTCACACCAATACCCCTACAACCCTAAATCCTCGCACCCTAAACTCCGAAACCCTCACCCTAAACCTCAATCCCTAAACCCTAAACCCTAAACTTTAGGGTTTAGGGTTTAGGGTTTTAAACCCTGCTTAAATCACGGAAACTTCTGAATCCCAAAGCTCCGAACCAGTAGGTACTGCATCACTCCTGGGTCCCCTAAACCCTAAACCCTAAACCCTAAACCCTAAACCCTAAACCCTAAACCCTAAACACCATGAGGTACTGCATCACTCCTGGGTCACTCAATAGTCATCGCCCTCTTGCTGGAGGCTCCTGGAGCTCTCTTAGGGCTTTTGGGGGTTTTAGGCCTTAAGATCTTAGGGTTTGGGGGTTTAGGGGCTTTAGAGTTTAGGGCTTTAGGGTTTAGGGCTTTAGAGTTTAGGGCTTTAGGGTTTAGGGCTTTAGGTTGAGGGTTTAGGGCTTTAGGTCTTTAGGGTTTAGGGCTTTGGGGGTTTTAGCCTTAAGATCTTAGGGTTGGTCGCTCTCCCGGGCTTTTGGGGTTCACTATGGGGCATGATGGGCCTCGAGCTTCGGAGGGTTTTGGGAGTTTAGGGTTTAGGGTTTAGGGTTTAGGGGCTTTAGGGTTTAGGGCTTAAGGTCGAGGGTTCAGGGCTTTAGGTCGAGGGTTTGGGGCTTTCGGGCCCTAGGTTTAGGGCTTAGGCCCTAGGATTGTCCGACTCTGGGTTTTTAGGGTCTGCGGAGCTCCGATCCTGAGAGTGTTACTTAAACTTAAGAGGTCATGGGATTTAGCAACTAGGTTGAGAAACCGGTTGTAGGATTTAAGGTTGGTGGCCTTGGGTTTGGACAAAGTACCGGCACTTATCGCTCCAGTTACGGTGCTAATAATTTTTGCACAAACTAGTTCCCTTAATCCTACCAGAAGGGCTTGGGGTTCAGGCTTTGAGGGATGCAGGGATTGATTAGGGTTTCGGGTTTAGGGTTTAGGTTTTAGTAGCTATCATCCAGGAGGTGGCCTCCAGTTTGGGAGCACCAGGGCACACGATGATGTTGAAGATGCACGCCATTCAGCTGCTTAGGCCTTGCACCCGAAGCCCTAAGTACAAGCCCGTGGTTGGAGTTTCGGGTTTCGGGCTCGTCTTTGCTGTTGCTGGGCAGCAGCCTGCAGTCTCTAAACAATGGTCCCTGTCAAGGCCCTTTTTATCATGGTGCCAGACTATCTTGGGGACCTAATTTAGAGAACTAGTATAGGGGCCTTAAATAAATACCTATACTATTTTGGGGTTTGTATTATATTTGTAGCATAATATACACCAAAACCCTATTCTAATTATTAAGGCCCTTACATTACCCGTATAGCATGGCCTCCGAGACTTCTCTATTTTGGTGCTGCAGGCATCATAGAGCCCTCCCAGAAGCCCTGCGAACAGAGCCCTGTAGCAAGAGACCAAAACCCTTCTGAATAGATGATCATCCGTAAACTCCTACAGAATCTTACAACAACCTATAAAACCAACATGGAGCCGTACAAAGTAAATCGACGCCCCGAAACTCCAGCTCCTAAGCCCAAATCCTACACCCCTCCTAAATCCTAAATCTTAAACCTCATTCCCCTAAACCCCAATTCCTAAATCTTAAACCCTAAGCCCCAAACCCCTAAATCCTCAACCCCCAAATCCTAAATCTTAAATCCTAAACCCCAAACTCCTAAAGCAGAAGCCAGAAAGTTGGAACATGACTATCCTCATGCCCTTAAGGTAAAGCATTAGGGATCCTAGCACTAATCCTCCTAAACCCATGTTCCAACTTTCTGGGATTCGCTGTACATCCTCAACCCCCAAATCGATACCCCTTGTCTGTCTGGTGCTTAGTAGGGAATGGGGGAATGGATCCCTTTGATAGTAGTCTCTTCAGGTCCCTTACAGTACTTGGAGGTTCATGGGTAGTTATCAGTAGGGGGTATAAGCCTCCTAATATGGGTTATAAGTATAGTTACCCTACTTATAACCCCACTTATATCTACCCATGAACCTCCAAGTAGTCCCTATCACCCCCCTAAACCCTAAACCCTAAACCCTACTAAACCCTAAACCCTACTAAACCCTAAACCCCCTATAACCCCTTCCCCCCTTCCCTACTAAGCACCAGACAGTTTTGGTGGCAAGGCCCGGGCTGACGTGGACATGATTGGAGACCATGGGGTTCCCCGGCTGGTTTAGGGTTTAGGGTTTAGGGTTTAGGGTTTAGGGTTTAGGGTTTAGGGTGACCGGGGGAGTCAGAGGTTTAGGGGTTTCGGGGTTTAGGCTTTCGGGGTTTAGGGTTTTAGGGTTTAGGGTTTTAGGGGTTTATGGGTTTAGGGTTTTTCATAGGGTTCCTATGGATTTTAGGGGTTTAGGGTTTTTCATGGGGTTCTTATGGGTTTGGGGCTTTAGGGTCTTTCGGTTTGGGGTTTAAGGGTTTAGGGATTTGTCCTAGGTTCCTTATGGTTTGTTGAAGGGTTTTAGAGACTTTGGTTTTGAATTGTTCATGTGTTCCTGTATGGGTTTTGAAGGGTCGTAGTAGGGTTTCGGTACCAGTGCTGCAAAGGATTCTGGTTCTGTTTCGGGTTTTCCATGGGTGTTGACGGGTTTTGGTAGGGCGGTTGGTTGTGGTATGACATGTCGGGGTCTGTTTGAGAGGTCTTGGTCGCATTGAACTCCGATACCTGTACCAACAACGCGTAACCTACACGCCAAGCTTTGAGCTAGCGCGGGACGAGCAACCCGACTAGCCACCATCCCTCGGACCAACCCTAAACCCAAAACCCTAAACCCAAAACCCTAAGCCCAAAACCCTAAACCCTAAACCCTAAACCCAAAACCCTAAACCCTAAACCCTAAACCCTAGCCATCGTCCCCAGGCCCAACCCTAAACCCAGCCACCATCCCAGGCAAGTCCATTGATGTGGGCGGCAGTGCACAGACATGTGGCCGTCACACGCCAGCTGCTACAGGCCAGCGCTCCAACCAGAGCCAAGGGGGGAGTGGGTTTAGGGTTTGGGGATTTAGGGTTTAGGGTTTAGGGTTTAGGGCCGATAGATAGTGGATGCCGCTTCTTGCAAGGACTTTGCGTCGATGTGGCTGAAAGTGTGGAGGATAGTTGTGTGCTCGGCCGTCGATGCCGCTGTTCAATCCACCCATTTTTCCTTCAATTCCTGCCGGGAGGGTTTGGGTCTGCACGGACGTTTAGATGTTGAGGTTTTTCATGTCGGGCTTCATGCGAAGATTGACATCCCGAAGAAAGCCCAAGAGTAAAAGAACGCGAGCCGACAATGTTGCTGACTTCACATCAGGTAGCCCCCTCAATCCTGGGTCATGTGGTTCTGAAGAACCTCCATCGCCATCAGATTGAGATTCAGATTTGACCAAGCCTACACGGAGCATTTAAGGGGACGTAGTAAGTGGGATTAGGTTATCGGTGGGCCCCTACACCCTAAATCCTAAACCCTAGCCCTAAACAGTGACCCTAAAGCCTAGCCCCTGGACCCTAAACCCTTAAACCCTAAACCCTAACTGGCCCTAAACAGTAAACCTCAACCCTAACCCCTGGACGCTAAACCCAAACCCCAGACCCTAGCAGACCCCGGGATTCATCCTAAACCACCATCGCATAGTCAGTATTAGGGTTTAGGGTTTAGGGTTTAGGGTTTAGGGTTTAGGGTTTAGGGTGTTAGGGCCCCTATATTAGATCCGGTCTTCTTCGACGGCAAAGATCAGGTCTTCTTGGTGGGCTCCAATCTAGGGCCCTGACTGAACTGAACTGAAACCTAATCCCTGGAACTTAAGCTTAAACCCGAAAGCCCGAAACCCTCAAGCCCCAAAGCCCCAAACCTAAAACTCAACCCTAGAATCCTAAGGCATAAGCCCTAAACCCTCAAGCCCTGAACCCCAAACCCCTCAACGGCAAACACCCCAAACCCCCTAAACCCTAAACCCTAAACCCTAAAATCCTTACGGCCGCAGGCAAGAGCTGGCGTAGACGTCGAATCGGAAAGGGGCCAGGGAGCCACCGCACTCCTCGTGGCTGCAGTGACTTGGCTGTCACTGGCTTGAGGGTTTTTCGGATTTCGGGGTTTAGGGTTTAGGGTTTAGGGTTTAGGGTTTAGGATTTAGGGGTTTGGGTTTAGGATTTAGGGGTTAGGGGGTTCAGGTTACCAATGTTATTCCTTAGGGTTCCTTAATTTTGTACATGTGTTACCCCCCAAAACCATATTCTACACGTTACGGCCCCAATGTTAGGAGCAGGGCGAGTGGTCAAGGGGCCACGACCTGTCTATGTGCATCTATGACTATGATCATCTATGTATCTTACAAAACCTTGCATCCCGAACCCCTAGAATCCACAAGGCAACCCTAAACCCTAAAACCCTAACCCCTAAACCCCTAAACCCTAAACTCTAAACCCTAAACCGTGGCCCTGCCATCAACCTCAGAACATCGTAAACTTTCAACTGCCGGCCTCGGCATGATTTCTATGTTTTTTTTTTTTTCCGCCGCTGCCTAAGGAGTCACGATGCATCTTCTAGGGGTTTAGGGTTGAGGGTTTAGGGTTTAGGGTTTAGGTTTTCAGGGTTTAGGGTTTAGGGTTTAGGCTTTAGGGTTTAGGGTTCAGGCTCTTCTTTGCGATTTCTGGTTCGTTCCTGGAGGTTCAGGGGTGCTTGGTGTTGGGTTTGGGTCATCGGGGGGCGTAACATCCAAGACCCATAACTACTGCTTCTCACCCGAAAGGATGGAGTTTGCATGTTTAGGTGAATGCCAGAACAGGAGTAAGCTTTAAACCCAAACAGTCTAAATCCGAACCCTAAGCGCCAGATGCTTTGAACCCGCAACCCAGAGCCACCTACACCCAAAATCCTAGATCCTCCGGTCCTATAGCCCATACCCCGGAAAAAACCCACCAGGAGAAAGGCCATGCAGACATCGCAGAGGTGCTTCTGGAGGTAACGCGGGCTTCGTGAAACCTCTCCGGGTGATCCGAAACCCGAACCTGAGGGCCTGAATAAGTGGAATAGGGTGTCACGCCGCCTTAAATACGAGCAAAACGTGTGCACTTATATCCCGTGTCTGTTACATATCCAGTATGATACCATCATGTGCAAGGACGCCGCAAAAAGCTAGTAGTTTCCCGCACAGCTCATCCTTGCAGCTGTTCCTTGGGCACAGTAAAGGTGCCCGATACCACATGGGGGTTTCCGAAAATAGGGGACCCTAATATAGCACCCTAAATTATAGGATCCCTATTATAAGGACCCNNCCTAATTTTCTGAAACTCCCACATGATCCGGTCCTGTGGTGTCTTAGGTTCCCTCGAAACCCCATGGTGTAGAAGTCTACTTCTTCCCTTGAGGTTGCTCAAGTCTCCATGATGCCTCTAGAAGATGTTCCGAAAGTTCTTCGAGACTCATCTACAACTGTCCCGCTAAAACCCTAAACCCTAAATCCTAAACCCTAAACCCTAAATCCTAAACCCTAAACCCTAAACCCTAAATCCTAAACCCTAAATCCTAAACCCTAAACCCTAAACCCTAAACCCTAAACCCGAAACTTACTTTTC